TTCTTCCAAAGACATACCAATTCCTCATCTATATAATGGCAACACTCTCTGTTGATCTTACATAATAGGATTTGGCTGAGTTGACTGTCCAGTTTACAAAAATGGCTCTATCTACTAGTTTCTATTAAATAATAGATGGAAACACATCATATAACCTGGATCAATATGAAAATAGAAAGTCATCTATATTAGCATTCTTTCTATGAGCTTGTTTTATTTTTCAGAAAGCTATAATCTTCCTAATCTATGGATACGAGAACTAAGTAAAGCATGAAATAAGCCACAACTGAGAACTAAACACCAAAAAAAAAAAAATCATCCTTTGTGTACCAACATATTCCTTCACAAATAGTAAAATACCAGCAAGTCCCTGAAATACCTGTTTCAAATACATTTTATTTGTATTTTTAATTAGAGCATCAATGAACTGCTTTAGGATCTATAAAGATGAAAAAGTCCATTATTGTAAGCAGTTCTAAGTTCTCCACAAATTCATTTAAATTACTTTGTGTCTCATAGCGTAACTCAAGTATGTAAGAGAAGATGATTGACAGGTAGGTTGGGTCAGGAAAGGAGTTGACCTTTCAGGAACAAGCTTATCAAGAGACTGGTCTTTGAGACACAGAAGCCATGATCAAATGAGGAGCATTAAGAAGAGATAGGGGTTGTGGCTGGATCTTCTGACAAAAGCCCAAAATGATTAACTATGATCTTAAAGTGAAAGAAAGCAAAAAGAAGATAACAGCTGAAATTGCTTGTAGACAAAGAGTCCAGAAAACGGGCAGGTTCAGACCTTCCCTTCATCAGTTATTTGTTATGTCAACTTAAGACAAGTTGTTTGATTTCCCTAAGCCTCAATTCCCCAGTCTATAAATTGGGAATAACAATGACATCTATTTCATCCAGTTTTTCTGAGGATTACAAAGCATATGAAAATAAAGTCAGCAAATTGCTTAACACCGAGGAAGAGCTCCTTAGAGATTAGCAAAGATTTTTCTGGGTTACTTAAAAGCACAATGACATTCGTTGTAAGGCTAAACACAGCCCAAAGGGAGATGGATACAAACACAAACACACACACACACACACACACACACACAGACACACACACACACTCACTTTAGAATTTTGACTATCAAAGCACAATCATTAATGATCACAATCATGGAAATCTACTAGATTTGATATAATTTTAAACAAACTTGGTTGATATAATGCTGACTAGAACATGACTTGAATCTGAAAGCACATTATTTTACAATTCTCAAGAACTATGCCCTTAAAAATGGCAAGCCAGCCAAGTCAGTTATGGACAACTGAAATGTTAACAAATTATATAACAAAAAAATAGTACCATAGAAAATGCTTCTGTTGTGATATTAATAGCAGAATAGCTACAGGCTTTCTTGGATGTATCCAGCCCTGAGAACTTTGACACTATTCATGTAGGCTTGGATTATGTTCCCTTCCAACCATGAAGTTTTCTATCATGTAAGGTGGTATTTTCTTGAATTCAAAACTGCATTTCTTCATAGAAAGTCTCATTAGTTACTAAATGGCCCTTCAATTTATCCCATTTCAAATTTCACCCAAGCTCTTATTTCCTTAAATTTTTGCCAACAATTTAATCATTTCTACAGTAAATTATTTTTTAAACCTTCATTAAGCTACTTGTGACTCTTTGAAGATTATTTCATGTTTTAGTTTCTTTTTTCTGTAGTTTTTAATCATACCATTAGGATATTAACATAATTTCAAGCATTTAAAAAGCAAAGATCCATGTCGTTAAAGAAATTGGTACAGGGCCTCCTGGCAAGGCAGGAAGATCAGGAATTCAAGGTCATCCTCAGCTGCATGGGGAGCTCCAGGCCATCCTGGGCTATATAAGACTCTCTGGGAAAAAAAAATAATGTAATTCTAAGATCACTAAGATGTGGTTTTAATATTAAGCCCTTTTTTAATCTATTGACACAAAACTGCCCTTCAGAAATAAACTTTACTAGAAGAAAGGTTCTGAAAACCACAGGAGCCATGATTCTATGGAGAGCATTAAAAAGGGATGAGTCTGGGCTGGAGAGATGGCTCAGCAGTTAACAGAGCACTGGCTGCTCTTGCAGAGGGCCTGGGTTTGGTTCCCAGCACCCACATGATGGCTAACAACCATCCGTAACTCCAGTTCCAGGGGAACTAATGCCCTCTTCTGGCCTCTGCAGATATTTAATGTATGTAGTACACATACATATATGTAGGCAAAACATTCATACACATACAAAAATAAAATAAATAAAATAAAAAAGGAACAAGGCTTTGTTGGACCTGCTATCTCACCTTCCCCTACTGCAGGTGTTATGAGAAGATATTTCACCTGAAAGTCCTCTCAGCACATCTTTCCATCAAACCAGGAAGGAATCTTTATTATTAAAAACAAAATGCAGCTAGTACAAAACAGATTATTTTGTTACCTTCTGAACAAGTGCCCTCCTGAGAGGCAAGTAGTTTTCAAAAACAGGAATAAATCTGATTATATTTAGAGTTTTAGAAAGCATGTTTTGTAGGCCTAGGGTATAGCTCTCTGGTAGAGCCCTTGCCTAGCATTCCCAAGGCCTTAGGTTCAATATCCAACACCATAGGGAAAGAAAGAAGAAAGAAAGAAAGAAAGAAAGAAAGAAAGAGAGAGAGAGAGAGAGGGAGGGAGGGAGGGAGGAAGGAAGGAAAGAAAGGAAAAAAGACCACCTTAGAAAAATGTATATATATATATATATATATATATATATATATATATATATATATATATATATATAATTTTTTTAAAGGGACAGTACATTATATCAAACATGAACAGGGCTCCTTTTTTGGAAAGCAGCTTTGTTGAGATGGACTGCATAAAGTGAGAGAGTCCTCATGGACAGGAGGATAAGGGAGGGGAGGTTTACAAGAGAGCCTTCAGAAAAATCCCCAAAGGAAAATATCTGACATTTACAGCCTGTCAGGAGATGGCAGGAAGCTCCATATCCCTGGATTTAGCCTGGGATAGCCTATGTGACAAGGAGCAAGGAGAAGCCAGGCACTGGTCATTCCATAAATTAGGACCTGTACAATTACAGCACAGTGTGGCTTCTTAACTCTGTGACCCAGGGACAGCATTGCAGGGCCTTGGCCTGATTTCTTCAGGCTGTGGAATCTGGCCTCTTAGAGAGACCAGCGTCTTAAAGGGACAGGCCCACAATGTAACACTAGTCAGAAAACTTGATTTTGAAAATGAACATTCAAATATTATCTCTGAGATATATATTTGGGACACAGATGGAAAGGCAAAATTAAAATGTGAGACACCAAACAATGAAATGTTTAGCTTCTAAAAGAAAAATCATGTTAGAACTGCTTAGGAAAGAAAATTGTAGCCAGATAATTTAGTTCAGTAAAATACAAAACCATATGATCATTTTGCTAACAAACCAATATAATTTTGAGAAAATCCATTGCTAGCCTTTATGACTTTATCTTGGTTGAAATCACTCTATATAAAATCATATTTTGTAATAGTTCCAACTGGAGTCTAGGTCCTTCAAGCTCCAAGGATAAAAAGTCTTTTTTTCAATTTATTTTTTTTATTTTATGTGTATGTGTGTATTGCCTACATGTAGGTAAGTGCACCTGTGTCGTGCAATGCTCGTGGAGTTCAGAAAAGGCTGTCGGATTCCCTGGGACTGGAGTTATGGACAGTTGTTAGCTCCCATGCGGGTGTTGGGATTTGAACCCAGGTCTTCTGCAAGAACAACCAGTGTTCTTAACCGATGAGCCATCTCTCCAGCCCCAAGGATAAAACATCTTTAAACAGAAGAATAACTCTCTGCAGAAAAGGCAATACTGACAAAGATCTAGAGGGGAGAATCAGAAGACTTTAGCAGTGTTATGCTAAGATTTGCCTTCATTGTGTTACAAAATCACCTACATAAAAGACATTAATATTTAACAATATAAGCTAATATCTTATTAACTCCAAAAAAAAAGGTAGGCTTTTAAAAATGCTGGCGTAGCAGAAAAATGATGAAGCTACTGGCAGTGAAACACACGGAAAGGTGAAGCTGCATGAAAATCTACAGGCAGGTGAAACATTTTATAGATGCTCAAAAGAACAGCAGCATTGTGAGGACAGAGGACAAGTTTATGATTTGAGCAGCCACAGGATGAGCAGAGAACAAATGCATGGGCTTCCCACTTAGCTACTGAAATGAATGGTTCAGCAGAATGATGGCAAAAAGATTTGACGAAGCACCTGTGTTGTAGGTTATCTGAACATCTGCTTTGAGCCTGGCATTAACAGTGTACAAGGCTTACAACTTGCCAGCCCAAACACGACAGGCAACTGCTAGGTTCCACACACGTACACAAAAGTACCAGACCAAACTGATGCAATGTTTATAAACCAGGACCATTCTCATTTGTAATTCCTCACACAGTAGCACCACAAAGAGGGAAAAATTTAACCACCAAGAATTTCAAAAAATAAGAAGCTGAAACAATAGAAGGGCATATGCATTAATTTCCCTCAATTAATATGTCTATAGATAAACCGGGAAAATTCATTATGAATTTTAAAGGAAAAAATCACTGAAAAATAAACAGCACATGATGAGATTATAGTAATTTCCAAATTCCATCAAGTATTATTTCTGGAAATTCAACTTATTAAAAAAATTGCACCGTTAGCAATACTCAATATGTTCTATTATCATAGGTATCTACTTAGTCAAGAAATATGAAAAAATAATATTTTTCCATTTAAGAATATAAATAGTTCAGAAATGTGATAAATTTGTTAATTTGACTGGGGAGTTTACAAAATCAAAGTTAGTTTTCAATAAAAATAAACTAATAAAATTTCATGTCAATAGAAATTATGTTAAATTTAAGTAACAATCACTAAGAGGGGTTAGACACCCACTGTGTCACTATGGATTTTATAAAGACAACTGAGTGGGGAGGCAGATAGTGGAGACCTCTGGAAGATGGAATCTCTTCTCTCTGCTGGTCCTAGAAGAAAAAAGAGACACCAATAAGCATCAACACACTGTCGGAATTCCTCCCCACCTGGACTTGCCAGTCCACAGGTGTCTCAATCTTATATCCAACCTCACCTTCAGACATGGCATTCAGTGCCAAGAGAATGTCAAAAACATCACCTTATGCTAATTTGATTAGTGCTATCTTTAAAATGAAACTATTAAAAATAGTATTTCTTTTTAGATAGTTGGGATCTGCATCAAACAGAATGGAAAGCAGCCAAGCAGAAAGTAATGTTTTTTCATCATCCACGTTTTGAAAAAAGCTTTATAATCATTATATCAGCTATTTTAAATTATAAGGTGGGCATTAAATATCATGTGTGTGTGTGTGTGTGTGTGTGTTACTAGAAAACTAACTGCATACACATGCACATGTGAACCATGATGCCTCCATGATGTAGAGGTCAGAGGACACCTGCTGGTTTTCTTCTACCTTGTGGGCTCTGGGAATTGACTCAGGTTGTCAGGTTTGGCAAAATTATCTTTACCCACTGAGCCATTTCACTGGTCCCATTAAAATTTTAGATTGCATGAATTACAGAAGCATCACAGACTGTAGGAAGTTGAAGTTTACTATCATTCTAATGTTGGTTTCATGAATAATTAGGCTATCTTTTCATTATTTCCACAGTTCTTCAGATTGAAAATGGAAAAAAGCAATACCTCAGTGATGCATGAAATTCATCCTTCCAGTCCCTGACCTCAGTAGCTACACTCTGATGTTACTTGTTCACCCTGTACCTGCTCCATAGTAAGGAGCAGAATTGATTGAGCACTGCCCTGGGGCTTTCTGTTAATGTTCTAGTGATGACAGACAAGAAAACATTTTCAAAATGACTGATAACTAAATAAAATATATTCAAATTTCTTTGCTATGTACTGAATTTTGTTCTACCAAAATTTTGATTTTTAATACTCCATTTATTATTTTTACTTTATTTATATGAGTGTATTGCCTGCATGTGTGTAAGTGCACCTGTGTCATGCAATGGTCATGGAGATCAGAAGAGGGC